AGCAGGATCCAAAAGCTACTGGACAGCTTCTAGAAATGTGCATAAAATGGATAAATCTGGTGCACGAAGAGCTCACAGCAAATAAATGAGCAGAAGATTTCTGTGCAGTGCTGAGCCAGTGAGACTGATACCATTGTGAAATGTGGGAGCTGAAAAGATGCTGCTGCAGAGTCTGAGGCTGCAACAATGAGAGCAGCTCTGTTTCCATCCCTAAAAAAAGAGACTGAAATGCTAAAAATGTAGAAGACAACCACAAAAATTATGTGAAACTGGAAAAAATCAGATTGCAGCATGACAGAGCTGAATCTGTTTAGTCTGTCCAGAAACTGATCAAGAGTGACTTTGGTTACTGCAGACCATTTATAGGAGAAGATCAGGGACTGGAGATGTATTTTATTAGCAAAAGAAATAAAATTATGGCCAATGACAAGAAGCACAAGTCAGACAAATCTAAATTCAAAGTCTCTGATTTTTAATAGTAAGGATGATTAACCACTGGAAAAAAATGACCGAAGGGAGCAGTGAATTTCCCCTCCTGAAGTCTTCAAATGGAGACTAAATGATTTTCCTGAAAGAATTGGTGAAATCCACTGGCCCATGCCCCAGAGGAGCTCAGCTGTGATGATGTGATGGCTCCTCTGGCCTTAGGAGCTCATTACTGTGGGGCTGGGAACTTCAATTGATATTTGGGAAAGAACAAGATCTACTTTAAAGCAAGAATAAAACCTGTGTAATGAACACCAAGAACTTCACCCTTGAGAAGGGAACAGCCCTCTCACCTCACACACTGGCTTTTCCTATGATGGAAATGCAGGATTTTCATCAGACATGTCTTGGACACTTATTAAATGCCTCTTTTTCCATTAGGTTAAAGATTCCCTCCGTGTAATTTCACATTTATTGTTCTACCTTGAGTGCATGTTGCCCCCACCCAGCAAATAACTTCACCTCTTCAAAGTGAACTGAGCTACAAATATCAGCTGGTTCCTGAGAAGTAAAGCCCTAAAGATCATTAAACACTGCCTTGTCCACATAAAAGAAAGAAAAAAAGCAAAGAGCCAAACCAAAAACCCCAAAAACTGCTGCTCCTTTCACCTGCATGTGGTGCATGAATTCATCCAGAGCTTCTGTGGAAGCACCAAAGCCTCAAATCCTTTTCAGATCCTCCAGCTGCAACATGGAGCAAAGTTTGATGCTTTCATCGAGCCATAAATCTCCCCAGGAGCTGCTGAAGCACCAGGCTCAGGCTCCAGCAGCCAGGAAAAAGAGAGGCCACAAGGACTGGGAGGGAATTTTCCTGATCAACCTCCCAACTCCCGACTGAGAAGATCAAAAAGAGCTTCTAAGTGCTCTGCCATTAACAACCCGGCCCCAAATGAGAAAGTCAGGCACACAGGAGTCCTGGATTTTTCCTAAATTCTCAGCCTGGAGGAGCTGCAGCCTTTTGTGCTGAAGAATTTCCCATTCATGTTCAGCGAGGTTCCATGCAGACATCAAAGGAAAACATTAAATTTCCCCAGCAAGCCCCGGGCTAACTTCAGAGGATACATCACTGAGTAATGTTTAGCAGTTGGATCACAGTTAATTCAGGGAAAAGAAGAAACTGCAGGACGCCCACAAGACATTCTCCACATATTTCCATAATCAGGGACATTTCTGCTGAATTACTGCTCGCATAGCACAAAAAAGCAGCACCCAAGACACTCAGTGGCATCTTTGGCCTGGATCTTTCTGCTCCTGTTCCCATCCTCCTTTAAGGACACCATGTGGATTCCAACAGAAAGAGCTGAAATAACTCAGAGTAGGTAGAAATCAGCATCACCCCTGCCAGTCTGAAAACTTTAACTTTACTTGTTAAATGTCTATTTGGTTGGCTGTTCCACTCAGGCCCCACTAGAAAATGATGTAAAAGAAAAACTTCTGTGCCTCCTTCCTGGAGACATTGATTATGGAATATCTATTTTTCTCAAACATTCTAAAAACCATGGGATGTTGTGCCTGTAACAAGAAGTACCTTTCACTTATTTTTTTGGCATTGAAATATACTTTTTAAGTACAGTTGCCTGGCAGAGTGATTTTGTTTTTACATTAAAATCCAAGAGGGTTGGGACACCCTGTACTAATTTGGAGGAGCAGACAGAACCTGCTCCAAAACCTTCCAAGCAGACTGGACAAAGCAGCAGCAGCATTTCAGGTGGGGAAAAGGAGGAACAAAGACATCCAGTGACTTCCTCAAGGTCACACAGGAATCTGTTGCAGGGCAGGGTTGAGTTCCCAAAGCCTCAGCCCACTTATGCACTGGAAAAAGCAGTGAAACAAGAGTATGTACTAAATTTGGCACAGCCTTTTAAATGATGCATTGCTCCAAGGGAACAAGAACCTCCACTCATGCTAAGCCAGACACCAAAGGAACACAGAAAGGAAAACGACTCACTCCACCCAATTTATCTGATCACCTTAATATTTCCTAAGTCAATAAGGCCTTTCTTGGCCAGACAGTCCAACCTACAATTTAGATCCTGTTACAAAATCAGACACACTAAACCACTTTCTCCCTCAGGCTGCAGGAGATAAAAGGCCAAGTAAGCAACATTTTGGTAACTGGCTTCGTGTAACAGCTTTGGATTTTCTTAACAGCCTCAGCATCGATTGTTTTCTTTAAATAGCAATGGTTTATTGAGAAACCTTCTACCCCTGTTAAAGCACAAGGTTTTCCTGAAGTAGAGAAGGGAGCAAAAACTGCCCTGCCAAGGCATATTTGTCCAGGAGTTTTGGATACCTGCTGCTGGCAAAACACTTTGAAGGCAGAGTTAAATTAACACTGGTGCTGAAGGGCTGAGAGGGGAAACTTGGGAGATGGGGAGGAAATGAAAGCATGGCCTGACACAGAACAAGCCTGGGATTCTGCTCCAGTTGTGCTTCATCCAACAGCTCCAGCCAGTGCTGCAACTTGTGAGCATGCAGAGGAGCTTTTGAAAGCTGCTGGAGTGCAGAGCAGCCCAGCTCTGGTGTGGTCTCTGCACAGCTCGGGGCAAAAGGAGCACAGCAATTCATTTCATGGAGGCAAATCACCAGCACCCTGCTGTTACATAAAAGCCTGTTTTGTGGGGAATGCTTCCAAGGATGGAGTCATTTGGGCTGTTTGGATCCCATGGCACAGCCAGGCTCAGGATGAGCTGCAGCTGCTCCCATTTTTGCAGAGTCTCCCACTCCCTTTTCCATCCTCGTTCCTCCCTTCTCCTCTGCCACGTTTTCATGTGGGAAACCAGCACAGCAACTGCACTGCCTGCTTCAGGGATGTGAACATAAGGCTGTCATGAAAGAACTGAAACACCTCCCCGAGCCCTTCTGCAAACTGAACTCAAACAGATAAAAAAGCCACTATTTAAGTTTGCCTGGGAAAGTTCCTCCACATTTGGAAGCCCCTTGAGGCAGGGACTGCCCTTCTGCTCTGTCAAACAGCCACTTGTACAAGCCATGATTGCACAACTGCTTTTATAAGGTTTCCAATTATACAAAGAATGTGTTTTTATTCATGTTTACAACCCTGAGAAACAAACCCTGAAACCCCAAACCCTTTGCATTCAAATTCCATGACCTGCTGGTGGCTCCACCAGCGATGTGGTCCCAGCTATTAATTCACACCTTGTCCAGAATGAACTTTTAGAAGGAGCAGATCCCAGAGCACACTGGAGTTAACGCTTCCACAAGTCACATTGTGCTCCCCTCCTTTCCCTCTCCTGTCCATATTTTTGCAGTCAGCATTCCTGGGCAGCTTCTGCCTGCCTGGGGCTAGAAGCTCAAATTCCAAGCAGTTGGCAGCCCTGGCACTGCCCTGCTGGAAGCTACTTAACCTGCAAAGCTGGCTGCATTGGAGCATGGACATGGAACAAGGAGGGGAAGGAAGCATCAAAGGTGAAAGCACTGGGAATGTACAGCCTTGTTTTTCCTTGGCTGGGGACCAGCTGTGTCAAGAAACAAAAGCAGAGCACAGACTTTAATCTACTGTAAAAACAGCAAGTAAAACAAGCCTCTTTCCTCATCCAGTAAAGCACTTTCTGTGTCCCAACACAACATCCAGGGCACCCAACAAAAGTCCAGGCAGTCACTGCCCCATCTCAGCTGGGCACAGGAGCCTGGAGTCACCAGCTGGCCCCAAAAAAGGTGAAAAAATTTCACCTCCAGGGCACAGATGCTGCTACATTTACATTTCAAACCCCCTTCCAAGGGGCACAGCTCCTCTGCCCCTGGTGATCCAAAAGCTGAACTATTCAAGCTGCACACACAGAGCTCACAGCACCATTTCCACTCAGCCCAGCCCATAAATCTCTGGCTGTGGCTGTTTTTTCTGAGCAGAGATTTTAGAAGCTGAATAAACTTTACAGAACAGTTATTCCAAGGCAGCTGAGAGCTGGGAACTCGGTGCCTGACCACAGCCAGGCACTGCAGGCTCCAGCACACACTGGGAAGGTTTAGTTTTCCCACTTCAGAACAGGCTCCTCTTGCTGGCAGGCTCCTTCTGCATCAGAACATTTACTGGCTCTGAGAGTTTTTAATCTAGCTTATCCTGACACCCCTCAAGAGCTGGAAGGAACTCATCAGGATTATTGAGTCCAACTCCAGCACAGGACACCCCAACAATCTCAAATAATCCAAATGCTTCCTGAATTCAGACAGACTTGGTGCTGTGACCAAACCCTGGGGAGCCTCTTTCAGTGCTCAACCACCCTGGGGTGAAAACCTTCTCCTGATACCCACCTAAACCTGCCCTGACTGAGCTCCAGCCACTCCCTGGTCACGAGAGTGAAGACATCAGTACACTTGTGAGGATGGTGAAGACTCCAAGCACTTAACACAAAACCAGCAGCTCACAAATAGATCCTTTGGGCTGAGAGCCCTTTTTCCAAGGAAAAAAAAAAAAAGCAGCTGGAAAAGGCCAAGCACTTCCACAGCCACTGATGTGCAACGCGAGGGAACCATCCGCTCCAGGCAGCACCTACCTTGGAAATGAGCTCATCGTGGTTGGCCAGGTGAGCCCTGCAGTGGATGCAGCTGTAGGTCCTGTGGCACGAAGGCAGGTACGCCTGGAAAGTTTTGGACCTTGTCATCTTCACCATTGGAGCCACTGAGCGCTGGCTGAAGTCGGGGGTGGCCCAGGAGGCGCTCCCGCAGGACGGGTCGCACGGGAAGCAGCGGAACACGCAGGTAAAGGCCGTGGTTTGGCAGGGGATGGTGTGTGGGGCAGGCTCCACACGCTGGGGGTGCTCCACAGGAAGGGCTCTGGCCACAGGAAGCAGGGGATTTCACAGAAACCTGCGGTGGAAAGCAGACACAACACTCGGCTCAGACACTCGGCTCCGACACGACACTCAGCTCGCTGATTTAGGAGCAGGACACAGGAGTGATGGCCCGGGATTAGATCAGCAGCACAGATCTTTATTCACTTGCTGGCTGTCCTCACACCTCCCTGATGCTGTTATCTGCACCCATTCTTCCAGCACTTCCTCTGGAAATGCCTGCAGAGGTGTGAAATCCCACCCAGCCCGGTCCCCAAACCCCCCTGGGGCACCACCCCAGCTCTGCCAGCCAGGGAAAAGTGGGGAGCAGAGCCAGCCTATGGGAAAAATGAGAGCTGGACCTGGGTTTTCTGAGCCACCAGGTAAGGCTCTGAGTCATCAAACCAGTTTTTCTCTCCATTCTGCCCTACTTTCCCCATGGGAAATGCAGGATTCCTTCATTACACTCTCCTTTAGAACTCCCTGCAAGCTCTGAAGGTAGAAGCTACTCTATAAACTGCACTCCAGTATTTTATTTTTTTTTAAATCTGAACATCTGACAGCATCCAAAGCAAGGCACAGCCTCTGAAGACTACTCCTGATAGCAAGAGACAGTTAAAAACCCTATTCAGGATGGAAACACCATTTTACACTCCAGCATCATCTGACAGCACCTGCAAGGCAGCTCAAGTCTGGGTCTCTTTTTGTTGGCAGAAATGGAGTTTTCAGATCCCACACCAATAAAAGTCTTACCAGCTACAAGTGTTCCTTTTGAGGATGGAAAAGCACAAAGGAGCTCCCCTCCCTCCCACATCCATGGCGTGCATGCAGGCTCTACAAATTAATCATGAACTCTGGCTGCTCCTCCCAGGAGGATTTTCCTTTCTATAAAACATGTGATTCTGCTCAGTTTCTGAGCCTGCACTTTGTGGGTCACATATGGAACAACACCAACTTCACCCCTACCACCACCACCCACCCCCAAACCAAAGAAAACAAGGAATAACATCTTGGGAAAACCTTGCCTCAACACTTTCCCCAAGTTTGCCATGGCTGGTAAAGCAGATTCAAGGTATCCAAGGCATGGACACTGTCCTGGGGTGTTCAGAGCTCTGTCCAGCCTGCCTTGGACATCTCCAGGGATGGGGCAGCCACAGCTGCTCTGGCAGCCTGTGCCAGGCCTCCCCACCCTCACAGGGAAGGATTTTTTGGTGATGCCTACCCCAAAGGATGGGGCAGCCACAGCTGCTCTGGCAGCCTGTACCAGGCCTCCCCACCCTCACAGGGAAGGATACCAAATTTTTTTCCCTTTTTTTTCCCTGAAATATTTTTTTCCCGCTCTCCAGGACCCAGCTCCATCACAGTCAAATAAGAAAAACAGCATCTTGCTCATCAGGCAAACTGCTGATAAAGCATATCCATCATGATCATAACAGTCAGCACTTCCACAGCACTGCTCATTCCTAAAGCTTTTTTGCAAATACCAACTAATCAGATTAACCTTTTCCAATTAAAGTTACAGCCACAGCTAAGCAGGACCCATCCTGACACAGTTTACACTCCAGCATCATCTGACAGCACCTGCAAGGCAGCTCAAGTCTGGGTCTCTTTTTGTTGGCAGAAATGGAGTTTTCAGATCCCACACCAATAAAAGTCTTACCAGCTACAAGTGTTCCTTTTGAGGATGGAAAAGCACAAAGGAGCTCCCCTCCCTCCCACATCCATGGCGTGCATGCAGGCTCTACAAATTAATCATGAACTCTGGCTGCTCCTCCCAGGAGGATTTTCCTTTCTATAAAACATGTGATTCTGCTCAGTTTCTGAGCCTGCACTTTGTGGGTCACATATGGAACAACACCAACTTCACCCCTACCACCACCACCCACCCCCAAACCAAAGAAAACAAGGAATAACATCTTGGGAAAACCTTGCCTCAACACTTTCCCCAAGTTTGCCATGGCTGGTAAAGCAGATTCAAGGTATCCAAGGCATGGACACTGTCCTGGGGTGTTCAGAGCTCTGTCCAGCCTGCCTTGGACATCTCCAGGGATGGGGCAGCCACAGCTGCTCTGGCAGCCTGTGCCAGGCCTCCCCACCCTCACAGGGAAGGATTTTTTGGTGATGCCTACCCCAAAGCTCCTCTCTGTCAGTGTGAAGCCATTCCCCCTGTCCTGTCACTCCCTGCTCCTGTAAATATTCCCTCTTCCTCTGTCTGGTACCATGGCCACACACAGAGCTCAACAGGAGGCAGAATCCTGTCAAACAACAGGATATCAAATTTTTTTCCCTTTTTTTTTCCTGAAATATTTTTTTCCTGCTCTCCAGGACCCAGCTCCATCACAGTCAAATAAGAAAAACAGCATCTTGCTCATCAGGCAAACTGCTGATAAAGCATATCCATCATGATCATAACAGTCAGCACTTCCACAGCACTGCTCATTCCTAAAGCTTTTTTGCAAATACCAACTAATCAGATTAACCTTTTCCAATTAAAGTTACAGCCACAGCTAAGCAGGACCCATCCTGACACAGAAGGTTCATTGCCCAGCCTGTGAGGAGCTCACCCCTCTCCTGTCCAGCCCAAATGAGGTTTTGCCAGGGATTTACCTGGCCAGTTGCTAAGGACTGGGCACTGTTTGCTCCACAGCTGCAGCTCTGGGTTTCAGCAAGATTTGCCTTTACACTCCTCAGAGAAGGAAGATAAATCAGTCTTCACCTGTACCCTGCCCCAGTTCTCTGTGTGCACCAGAATTTGGTCAGAACTCAGTTCTGCATTAGTCAGCATTGTTTTCCCATCCAAGGTGAGAAGCACTCAAGGACTAAATTAACAACAGGGCAGAAACCTGATGTAAAGCAAAGCAGAATCCCCATTTTCAGCTGCTACAAAACCATCCTCACATTCCAGGGTCCTGACTGAGCAGCTGATGTGTTTCATCCCAGCCTAAGGGATCCCAGAAGCTGCTCCAAGTGCAGGGAAGCAGGAGGCCCAGTGTGCCCTTCTGGGGCCAAAAGCAGCTGGATCCCTGGAGAAGAGCTGGAAGAAAGCATGAGGAAGGACTGGCAATCACTCCACCTGATTCCTGAATGAGAATCCAGATTTGTGTCTAAACCTTAGGCTTGATTTGGAATGAAATGGTGCAACCCCCTCTCAGTAAAATAATCAATCACCACTTTCACCACCTCCATCCTGCCATGCCAAACTTTCCCTTCCCCATCAGCTGGAGAAGGCACCCCCAGAGCCCAGTGGAGAGATAAATAAACCCCAACCAGAACAATATCCCAGCAAGCCTTTAATTTGTTGCCTGCTGACCCCTCTGTCCAGACCTGCTAAGCATCAATGCTCCAGAACAATGAATAAACCAGGAAATACTACAGCTGCATTTATCTGACACAGCAATGAACACACACAGAGGAATTATCTGCTGCTCACAGCTTTCTGCAAAAGCAGTTCATGAGCATTCATTTATTTGACCTCATAACACATTGAACATCAGCAAAAAAACATTTGACCTTTTAAAAGCAGACCAAAAAAAAAATATTCAGGCAAGATGGTATCAGAGGAACTGCAATTCCTGTTCTCAGGGCTGTGCTCAGAAGGCAAACTCCATCTCTCTGCTTCAGGCAGGGCAGAGAATAAAGATTTGTGAGCCAAGATCTCGGTGGGAAGCCTTGTTAAGAAAATGCCTTGAATAAAAACTTCAGATAAGCTCAGCTATAATTTATCAAGACCACTTTGACACAGTCTGACCACATGTGCATTGTCTACCAAGAGCTCTGTCCTCACCAGTGTGGGAGAGGAGGTAAAACCTACAGGAAATGCATGCTGACATTCTACAAGCACAGCCAGCAGCTTGTAAGGACCAATTTATGTTCTTAAATATAATTTTGAAATGTATTCAGTGGCTCCCAGCAATGCAAAACCCAACCCCGTGGATTTTTCATGTCCTAATGACAACTACATTTGAATTAAGAGACAATTACCAGCTAACAGTGCATTTGTTCTGCTGCAGAACAAAGGCACGAGGATGAATTTGGGCTGTGCCTCTGGTTTTCAGAATGATGAGCTCATGTTCATCAGCATCACAGGCAGTGGGCAGCAGTGGAATCGTTCCACTCACTTTAAAAAAGAACAAAAGAAGGTTTGTTCACTTTATCATCGTGCCCAGCACTGTCACAGAGATGAGTATCTGTCACCAGCAACATCATCCATTATTGTTCTTTTCTCATTCAAGAGAAATTTATCTCTGGGATGCACTCACTCAATTCAATGGAAGAGAAATTTGTGCCCATTAATTAATGCCCAACAAGTCAGAAAGCTGGTGTAGACAAAAGGAAGGGATTCTAAAGAAAGAACTTGCAACATCATTTATTGTGTGTTATCAGTGAGAGAATCAGCTGAATGTTTTGCTTGCCTGCACTGGGTGTGTTGGATGTCCTGCTGAGTTCTGAGCAGCCATCAGCTTCCTGATGGAAAAACCACCACACACATTTTGCCATTTGGGCAACTTTCAGGTTCAGAATCCACCCTCCACCTGTGGGTGTCCACAGGAAGCTGTCAGCAATTCAGGAAACACAAAAAAGGGGAGGAATTCTGTGCCAAGCACTTGCCAGACAAGGCCACTGCGTGTACAAGTCCATATGCCAGGGAACAAAACCATCACACACAAGCCTAATTCTGAATAAATTCCATTTGCAATGCAGCTCAGATGCAAATGTTCATTGTGGCAGGACAAACAACAGGTTTGTTGGGTCTGAGAGGTTTTTTTTTAAGGATTATTCAATTTTAAGATAAACTTCAGCCTGTGAAATACTTATTAGAATACAGCAAATGCTACAGAAAGCTGCTTGCAGCAGCTCCGAAATAATCCAGGTATTTGGAAACCCAACCTTTCTCCTTTGGTGGGCCTCTTTCATTAATAAAGAAAAAGTTTGAGATGTGCTGATTCCCAGTGCAAGGAAAGCACAAGAGGAATTGGGTTTGGAGAGTTTTCTGTGTCTAAGCTGGGCTGCTCCAGGCTCTGAGCAGAATTCTAAGAA